GGATGTACTCCTAAGTGAAATAAATAAGTCACACATATGCAAATACTGATAGTTTCTCTGGTGTGAAAAACTAAAATAGTACTCAAGATCCTAATGGGACAATTTGCAATGTGACGTAGAAGAAAAGGACTAAAGGTGTAGGAACAGTGAGAAGGATAGGGAAAGGGGAACAAGGGAAAAGGAAAAAAATATGAGAAAATGTAAAAATGGAATTAAAGTGTTTGAAGGTGGAGAGGTGAGGAGGGGTGAAGGGAGGGTGGGGACCAGGGGAAAAAATGAGAACCAAGGCCTGGCAGGTAAAGGTACAAGATCCCAGTAATGAATGTAACTGTACTGTCTACCTAGAATGTACCAATAAATTCAATTAAAAACAAAAAGTTAGACTTACGACAGGAGTTTTGAGAAATGGATTAGAATGCATCATTCATTTAGGATGGGGTGAGCCAGAAGGAGAGGGGCCTTCCCTGTTGGGGTGTGTCCTTGACATGAACTTCACCAACCCGCAGGAGTCCAAGTGCAGAAGGCTCTGAGGGAAACAAAGGAAGCCCCCCCGCCCGCCACTTGCTTTCCAGCCAGAAGCCAGGGCCTGAGGGAGGGCGGGCCTCACAAAACTTGCCTTCCAACAATGCCGTCATCCCCAGAAGGGTGTGTTGCAACATAATGGCTCTAGCTACAAATTCTATTAACTCTAATAGTTGTTCTGTGGTGAATGGATAATGCATTTAGCAGAAATAGACCCAATCAATTTATATGAAACACATAAAACTTTCTCATTGAAATTGGCATCTGTTCTTGAATCATAGGAGCATGTGTGGAAATGGCCAGTCTGTCACCCTGACTTCTGGGCACGTTAGCCGGGCCACAGGTTAATTAGAGAGATGGGCCAAATGAAGTGATGGCTCCCTTACACCAGTCCCCTCCAGCTCTCAGCGTCACAGAGCTAGGAACAGGAAGGAGGTGGAGACTGTCTTCAAACCTTGACTTTTTTGTTTTTTGGTACCGGGGATCGAACTCAGGTCCTTGTGCTTGCGAGGCAGGCAGCGGAACCACTGAGCTAAATCCCCAGCCCAAACCTTGACTTTTTAAAAACAGCAGTTACCTGCTCTGCTCTGTATTCACACAGCCCCTCTCACAGGAGCGTTGCTACTGGAAGCGAACATGAGGTTGGGTGAACAAACCTGAGACCCAGGGTGGCAAGTACAACCCAACTAGGCCCAACATGGAGGTTCCGTCTCCCACACCAGTGCTCTTTGTGGAATTCTACATGTTTTTAATGGCTTCTCTCCCCCTCTGGCAAGAGATGCATACTCAGAAAATGGTAAACCCATCTGCAACTGGACAATTCAGAGGCAAAGCCATGATTCTGATGCCAAGACTCTGAAGTTAGGACTGTGGAATTGTGCTCTCAGGTCAATTGAGCTGGCTCCCGTGGCCCTCCCCGTACGATACCTGAGCTTTAAGGAGAGGTTATGGGATATTGGACCCTGAGCTTTTTAGGGGAGGGAAGGCGGCAGAGTCTCTTTGTACCTCCTCACCTCTAATGTCACTGATTACAGTGGGATAAGGAGATGGAGGCAGAGATAAAACAGGAAGGGAGGGAGGGAGAGAGAGAGGGAGGGAGAGGGGGAGAGGGAGGGAGGACTCTGCAGCCCTGTGATTGCATTATCCTAACCATTTGGTTAGCGTAATTGCATGTGCAAAGCTGACAAATGTAATTTCCCTGGACTTAATACTTGCCCCATTTTCTCCTGCAGCTTCTTTATCTGATTAGCTAAAGTAACTCAGAGGCTTCCGAGAATGCCCTGAGATGCACCTGACCATGGCTGTTCCAGAGGTACAGGCTACCCTTCCCAGAGCAAGGGAGTCAGGCCAAGTGGCTTAGGGGACATGAGGAGCATTTATGAAAATATGGAAACTTCGTGAGTAACTGTTTTCAAAAGGCTCGATTTAGCCTTTGTATTTCTGGGAGTCACTCTGAGACTTGCCTGCACAAGAGGTGAAATGCCACCAGCCACCCCTGTTCCAGCTCAGTAGAAACTGACAGCGTTGAACTTTGGAAGGAAAATCTTATTATCTTGTCTCCCTGGCTCTTTTTCAAGGGGCTGGGAGCTGATGTGCTTATTGTTCATGGAGGGCCTCTTATCCGGGACTGTTTCCCTACCTGTTTTCCACTTTTAGTATTTATCTCTGATTGGAGACTTTCTTTTATACTTAGCTGTAGCTCATCTGAGTGAAAGAATGTAGACTTTAGGTTTACACCCTGGCCCTACTCCCTACCAGTTGTGGGACACAACTCCCATTATACCATTTCCTCCCTCCTTTGGATGATAGCAGATCGACTTCCCTGGGCCAGTGGGAGGATGCGTGAAAGCACCTGGCCCGTGATCAGACATGCTCCTTTCCCTCTCCAGCCTCAGTGCTGTGTCCTTCTCCAGGGACCATCCCAGGCAAAAGATCTGAGCTTGGCCTTGCAGGCCCAGCCTGCCTGGTCACAGGCTGCTCTCCGAAGGACCAAAAGCTGCAGAACAGCAAGTACTGGTCAGCCTCACCCATGTAATAGGCATTCACAGCAGTAGGCACAGCCGAGGTGCCAGGAACACGTGTTTGCTGGGTGACTATTACTGGCCTTGACCTTTGGGAGTCTGCCTGGGCCTTGCCTCCTCTCTCAGCTGCAGGTACACTGTTCTAGTTCAAGCATTTGTCTACCTGCTCCCTTCTCTTTGAGAACAGGAATTCTCTGAGCTCTAGACCTGGGCCTTGTTCTGTTCAATGTCTCTGAGTGCAGAACCAGCCACAGAGGAAGTGTGCAAGGTCTGCAGGTGGGTCCAGATGGAAGCTAGGTGAGGCCAGGGCCAGCGGAGCTGCTCTCCTTACAATGGTGCTGAGCCCAGTGGATATTCCTGTGGGTGATGGGGAAAGATGGCTCTGCCCCTGGAAATCCTCCCAAAGAAAAGAGATACCCCAAACCTCCATGCAGAGCAGGGATCTACAGTGACTTGGGGCTCGAGGACCTAAAACACAATGGAGTGTTGCCTCCTACCACTGGGACACAGCATGGGGAAGGTTCCCAGCTGCTCCATGACCTAATCTGCTTCCCAATGTGGCACTGGGTTCCTGGGAATGAAGAGGCTCCTTACTTGGTGTTCTTGAGACTTCAGGTAGCTGGTACCTCTCTCAAGCCTGCCAACGGGCGTATTTGGTTCAATGCCCTTTCTCTTGAGTAGGGAGAGCTCAGAAGGTGAGCAAAACCCTGATCTGTAGCCACTTGCCCGGGTCTCATTCCGAGGGAGGCTAGGGCAGGGATTACGGGTGAAGTTACTTGGAAGGGAGGCTTGCATTTCAGCTGGAGTCATCTCTAGCCCCTCAAGTAGCTGCTTGTGTCTAATTCTATTTGGAGGTGGTGAGGGCGTCATCACTGCTTGGGAGCTGCTGTGTGATTTCATTAGTCTGAGAGGCCACTGGGCAGGCCCTTATCGATTAGCCTTTTAGGGACAATGGGAATTATATAGCAATAAACCCAGGCTCTGGCAGGGCACACGGCTCTTTCCTAAATGCTGGCTGCAGGACTGCTGGCTGCTGACATCTGAGATCCTAGCTCAAGCCTCCAGCCATCCACTAGTCAATCGATAGGTATTTCTGGAGTCCCTGCTATGTAATCAGTGCTGGCGGTTGGGCCAGGGCAGGGGATTTGCCATCAGATTTTACAAAGGGGATGCCTGGCCTCTTTCTTAAATTTTTAAATTTGCAGATTTCCTGAATTTATCGCAAGGAAGTAATCGTTGGCCAAGGGCCACGGAATAAGTGCAGGTAAATCATGGCTGTTGGTGACCGGAAGCAACTCTGGATAGAAAGTTAGAAGGCTGCCCCCTTCAGGTTGGATGTTTCATGAAGCACTCGTGAAATGGATCTGGCAGTTCTTGTGTGGAGAAGTGGAAAGATTTAGGAGGAGGAGGGTTCTCGTTAAGGTGAAGGGTAAGAGAAAAGGGGTAGAGTGACAAGAAAAGCAACTAATTCTTTGCACCGGTAGGCAGAAATCAGGGAGGGGTGAGTGTCAGGTTTGAGGCAGTTTTTCAGAGGACAGAAAAAATTCCTCCAAAGATAAAACAAAACGAATCTTCAGTTAAGAAAAAAGAACCAGAAAATTTGGTGGCAGAGCATCTAAGTTTTTAGAGACATCATTCCTCTGTCCTCATTTTAAGAAGGTCATGTTTTATAGGAAAAAAGACTGTGAGTAGACTGTGTGCTGTACCCCTGCTCCTGCAGGTCACTCATGTCCAAAGAAGCCTCACATGTCCAGGCACAAAGGCCACCTCAGGTCACTCTTTGGATTGCTGCAGTGGGGCTGAGGCAGTCTTGGTCAGCTCCTCTGGGCAGGGTTTGGAGATGGATTGCAGGAGCTTTCTCTTTATAGGAAGAGTAGCTGAGAAGGCACATCTATGGCTGATAGCCAGAGACTAGAAAGCCAGTGTTTGAAGTAGCAAGAGCCTCCATGATAAATCTCTCAGCCTGGGGCTTGCAGGTCAGAACAGCTTTGGGGGGGATCTAGCCCCAGGGTGGTGTGTTGAGCTGAGCGCACCCATGATGTGATAGCCAGCCCACCTTCATGCAACAGATAGCCCTGTCTTTGACCCCAACCCTCTACGAGGAGAGGGAAAACTGTTGCTAAGATTTGCTTTCTTTGATAAGTGGGGGTTTTGAGGAAGTTGGTTGAGAAAAGGCTGGCAGTTCTGTCCTGTTTGTGTGGATTCTGGGATTCCCCAGGTTAGGGGGGACTTGTTCCTTCACACTGTTTCCAGTAGCTTCCATTGCTTGGGCAATGTGAGAATCACACAGCTTCCTCTTGGGGCCCTCGAGCCAGGAAATGAACAGGTGATATTCTCCCCGGAGCTGACTATTTTATTCTTTATCCACAGCCCTCTACTGCAGGTACAGCATGTACCTTTCTTCTGTCCTGTGCAACAAGAAATGACATGGCTTTAATCTGTGAACTGAACCCTTACCTGTAGGGTCGAAGATGGGAGTCTGCCTTGGTATGTTTTCCCAGGACTTTGGCTCCTTGTTTGTGTCTCTCTCAAATAGATTTCTTGATTTGGGTTCTTCAGTCTGGGGCATCTTGTCCTCCCCACTGACTGGAAAAGAGAAAATCCAGCAGGCTGAGTTAGGGGAGGCTCAGTGTCGGAGGGGCAGGCATTTGTACTGGGAAGGGTGGGAGGGAAAGTTGGGCTTAGGTTAGGGAGGTGGTGAGGCCGTAGGTTGCCGGATTTGGAGAACACAGCATCAGGGGTAGGGTGAACTCACTGGTGAGGTAGCAGTCCAGACTGATGGAGATATTGTCAAAAGCTACGGTGGCTCTGGATCCTTGCCCCCACCATGCGACCATCTGCAGCCAGAACCTGTCCGTGGCAAGAGGAACGTGTGTGAGGATAACCTGGGTTGGTCACGAATGACTGTCTGGCTCAGAACCTCAGTTTTGATCAACCTTCCCTAACCCGAGGGCTGTGGCAAGAGGACAAGGCAACCTCTCTTCCTGACTTCTCTAGCACAGCACCTCCCCTTTCTGCGGGACTCTCCATCCTGGGAATGGCTGACATGTGACCCTTAAAACCAATGTGAAGTTCGGGGGCTTGAGACTTGGACTCTGTGATAACCCAAGGAGGCCTCCATCTTTGCTTTCTGGGTGAACAGGGTAGGGGCACATGGTGAGCTTGCTGCTCAGCTTGTGCTCAGCGATAGGCCTGAGGTCATTACTAAAAGATTAAAATGCTTCTGAGCCAACTGATAAAGGCCTGCTACCCCTGGAGCGCTCCCTGCTTACTGCCTCAGACAATCATACTTCTTCTCTGGTGGCCCCTGGGTTTCCCTATTAGCCAGCAACCAAAGGGTCTCCAGCATCCTGGATTTTATCCAGCAGCAGGTGCAGTTTTCCGACTGCTTGTTAAATATTAAATGATTTGACTATTACCTCTGGGCTGTTTGTAACTAAGTCAGGGTCATAAAGTACTAACAGCAATGCCTTGAGATGATAATGCTTCTTTCCTGCTTTTTCATAGCCTTGGAGGGCCAGGTGCTAAGAGTGTGACTAGGGAAAGCTTAGAGTGAGGTAAATAGAAAAAATACCTCTGGTTCATTTGTTTTCTGGGAAATTACCCTCCTGGAAGGCTACCAGCCAACTAGCTCTTTCCTGTGGCAAAGCAAGGGTGTCCTGAGAGACCCAAAACCTTTCCCATTCTTCAGATATTTGTTCCAAGAAGACCTACAGAACAGTGTGCAGTCTCTGGTGTGGGTGTTAAAATATTGAGAAGGAAGCCATGCCCATCAACTGGTGACTGGATAAAGCACGCGAGGTATAAAGCTACTTGGCAATAAATAAGGCAGCGAGAGACATGCTATAAAATAGATGGAGCTCAGAAACATTATGCTAAGTTCAAGAAGGCAGAGAGGAAGTGAAAGGCCTCATTGTGAAGAATTCTGGGCACAGAAAACATTGAGGATGGCAAATCTGCAGAGACAGAAAGAAGATTAGTGGTTGCCTGGGGCTGGGAGTAGGAGCAATATTGACTGAAAACAAGCACGAGGGCTTTTTGGGGGGTGATGGAAGCATTCTAAAATTGGACTGTGGCATTCTTTGTACAGTTCTATAAATTTGCCAAAAGTCATCGACTTGTATACTTAAAATGGTATGTAAATTATAGCTTGATAAAGCTGCCGGGGTAAAAAGGAGATAGAAAGCGAGTCAGAGACAGAAAGACAGACAGAGACAGACATAGAGACAAAGATAGAGTCAGAGAGACTGGAGACCAGATAGCATGAGGAAAACCAAGCCCCACTGGGCCTGACAGTGTGAAAAAAGCAGGGCAAGGAGAGGACAAGGAGGAAAAGCAGCAGCTGTCAGTGGAGGGAGGACCAGCGCACAGACACAGCGTGAGGGAAAGGACGCGCACACAGATCTGCCGCGAAGGAGCAAAGCTTCGGGCAGCGAGCAGACCGGAATGTGGTGGTGGGAAGGCCCAATGCCACCAAGAGCAGATGACTCCTCGTCACAGCGCACAAAGGGCTGACCCTGCTTTGTAGGAAAGCAGGCCTTGAAGTCCGAACTACACTCTCCTCTGAGCAGCATTGTGATTGCTCTGAACGGAACCATTTCCTAAGTCCATATCTCCACCCATCTTGCGAAACCCGGCCACAAACAGTCCTTCTTGTCGGAGAGTCACAGTCGGGCCCGCATTTGCTCTGATGAAGAGAAGAAATGCCTGAATCTGCTGTGCCCGTTGTCAGCTGCCCTGGTCCCCTCAGGCCACGTCCCCCATGGTGGAGACAGATCAAACGGCAAGGAGGGGTCAGGGTTGGCGGGGTGTGGAGGAGGAGTTCCAGCCCTGTGTTGGAACACTTGGGGACTCTGGAGGAGGCCGTGCGAGGGGCGATGGCGCAGACCTGCCCACCCTCCTAGCTCAGGCACTGAGAGGAGGTCCTATTACCGCCTGGGTGAGGCCTGGATTCACTAAGACCCAGCTGCTCTGTGCTGGGTCCAGCTTTAGGCGCATGGGGATTCTAAGGAAGTCAGGCAGCAGCATGGCATTTGGGCTGCTCGCCGTCCAGCAGGGAGAAGTAGGAGAGGTGGTGCTGTTTGCCCAGGCCGCCCTGGAATGCGTGTCCTCCTGCCTCAGCCTCCTGAATTGTGTGTGCCACTGTCCCCAGCTTTAAATCACCTTCGAAGGTGGGGTAGGACTCTAGGATGTGGGCATGAGGTGGGGAGAAGGAACTGGGGTGAAGGGCATGGCAGAAGGGCAGAGCCTGCTCCGCTGGGGGGGAAGGGACGGAGCAGGTGGAGGGAGGCCCAAGAGTGAGTGCATCGGAAACCAGAGCTACTGGGAGCTTCTGGAAGGAGAAAAACAAAGAGCGTTTTCAGGGTAAACGTGGTGGGATCAGTGAGAGGAGGCGGGGCCCACACCAGAGGCCCTTCCTCACCCATTTGCTGACTTGCTTCTCATGCAAGGGTGCAGCCCTCTCCCTGGTCTCCGCAGGGAATGAGGACCACAGGCGGGCTCTGGCTTAAGCTGTGCAACCCTGGACGAAGCCCAGGCTGGGCCTCCCACTTGGAAATCCAGGGCCCTAGCACTGCTCTCTTGTTCTCTTTAAAGCAGAAACAGGCCTTGGGGACAGGTTGAAAAGAGAACAGGAACTTAGGGCTACTCAGCAGGGTGAGGGGACACCTGTAATTCTAGCTGCTCACAAGGCTGAAGCAGGAGGATTTCAAGTTTGAGGCCAGTCTGGCAAGACTCTCTCTCAAAACCGAATTTCAAAAGGGCTGGAGATGTAGCTCATCATTCCCTGGGGTCAATCGCAGTACCCAAAATAAACAAACAAACAAACAGAAAGCCATGTTGCCCTGTGGTAGCATCACAAAGGCACAGCTGCCCGCTGCTCTGCACTGTGGTGGACAAGGACCCCCCAGCAGCCCACCTTCCTGATTCTCCACTGGTCAAAGGGCCGGGTGAGGGGTGGAGCTGTAGCAGTGCTGAGTGGCAGCTGCTGGCCTTCCAGGTGGGCCTGCGGTGCTGAGCTAGGCAGTGCCTGTGGCTCAGGGTAGGAAGAGACCCCTGCAGTCCTCTCCACAGACCCCACCTCCCCCTCTGTCTGCCTTCACTCTTATTACTGAGAGACAGAGCTGCACAGCTCTCAGAGGCCACTGGGCCTCTTAGCACGGGTGCGTTGATGCAAGCTGGGGCTGGCTTTGAAGTAGAAGACTTTCTGGGGTGTTCTGCGAGGCAACAGCAGTGGCAGCTGCTGTTTAAAAGCGCCTGATTGACACAGAGAATTGCACATATTTTGAGTCAGGAGCACTAGGAACAATCAGGGAAGACTCATAAGGCACAATGGACACCATATGACGCCGCCTCCGTTCCATCCAGGGGCCACCTGCCAACACTTCCTCAATGCGCCACACTTGAGAGGCTCAGGGAAGGGCCAGGTGGGATGAAGATGGGCCAAGGGGGGTGTGGGAGGACAGGGAAGCAGAGGCGGTCTGGGGACGGCATCTGGGGTGGTGGGTGATGTGGTGGGTACAGCAGGACCAGTCCAGGAGCTTCTTTTCTGTGGAGCATTGGCCAAGAGACAAGATGGCCATCAGGCCCACTTACATATAAGGTTCTCTGCTTTGGATGGTACCCAAGACCTTCACCTCAGGTGACGAAGAAAGCTTGTCCTGGCTCTGCTTACCCTCTTCCTGCTGGAGATGGGCCAGACTTCCTCAAGCCCGAGTCTGGCCCAACCACTCTTTGCTGCCGAGTTTCCCAAAGGTACAGGAACCAAGCCTCTCTCCTGAGTCAGCTGTGGCATCTGTGTGAGTTCTAGCACCTACCGGGCGGACTAGTCATTTTGGGACCCAGAGAAAGTTGTAATAGGCAGCAGGTAGACCATTCTGGGACTGAGGGAAAGCAGGGTCCATGCCACATGATTGCTAAGCCTGCAGGCACTGGATGGTTCTAACATATAAGGCCCTCTGCTTCTTCAATCTGAAAGCCTTTGCTCCGGGTGGAGAAAGGAAGCAGAGTCCCCGTGGCTGGAAGAGGCTGTCTCTCCCTCCCTATAGGCAACATGGCCAAAGAGAAGGCAGAGTGAGCTCTTTGGGTTCCTCCTGCACCCCCAGCGACCTGTGCGATATAAGCACATGACAGGTGAACCTTCTCTTTCCTGGAAGTGGAAATCTCTCTCCCTTCCCCTTAACATGTTTGCTTAGCTCTTTGGCTTCTCCAAAGTGGATACTTCTGACTGCATAGGTTATTATTGCTTTTCCTTGTTTTTCCTTGCCAAGGGGTTTGAAGCTTGTTAAACAGGCTTGGCTAGAGATCTTGGTTGGAACCTGGCTTTGAACAAAGGATGCATCCACTCTGTCCTGCTCAGCTTTACAGAGAAGCCCTTTGAAAACTGGCCCAGGGGGGATTCTGGGAGGTGGCCATTTTGGCAGTGGGCCAGGTTTGGAGGGGTAGCTTTGGAATTGGGTGTCTCCCACACTCCCCGGAAGTGTGTCTGCTGCTCATGCACAGCCCAGAAAATGGACCATCTCATCCTGGCACAGACTGTTAATGGATGGTGAATCTGAGGCCTTATTTGCCACCCTTCCAGCCTGAGGGATTGACAAAGCTAATTACATTCATTCACCGATTTTAAGAAGCTGACAAAAAGGCATGTGTCTGAACGTAGAACGAGAGGACAGCAATGCTTGGGAGAGGGCAGGAAAGAAGGGCTGGACAGGGTTAAGAGTATTTAACAGATGGACACTGTGTCTCAGATTCCTCCACTGGACAATGAGTGGGCTTGGAAGGAGTGGGTGTTCTGCACCCCACCTCGCAGCTGGGGCCTGTCTGAGATCTAGTTGCTTAGGATAGGACTGGCA